GAGTAAATTGAATATACGGAGTTTAAAAATGGATGCTCTTATGGTATGGAAGGTGAATCAGAAAATGATCCTCACTTTAACAGCCAGCATTATGTACTGGTGCCTTCAACACGCGGCGGAAGAGGGTGAGACAACTCTATCTCCGGCTAATGGCAACGGTGGTAGTACCTATACATCGGATGTATCTCCGGCACCATCCATTAGTGGTGAAAGTTCCTCCCTGTGTGGTGAAGTCTCAAGCTTAACCTTTGATGATGCCGCCTCCGACATTACACGGCATCATCATCTCAATTTGAGAATGAAGATATTAGTGTTGAATCGGGGATGTTGAATGGCCGTTGCGTATCTTTTCCTTTTCATTTAGATTCAATAATTTTAAACATGATAGGAAAATAAAATATAACACGAAAATAATACAAATAAAATATATTTATAAAAAATGATATAAATAAAATATTAAAATAATTCGATTTAAAATTTTAATAAAAATTATAAATAAATTTAATAAAATAAAAAATATATTATATATTTTTATATTAATTTTATGATATATAATTTTTATATAAAATATAATATAAATACATAAATTATCAATATTTTACATAATACATATATACAAATTATCAAATTTATTTATTGGTTCCTTCTTTTTCTTTCGGAGAATCAGAACATTACTCATAAGAAAAAGAAATTTCTCTTTTACAACTGGATATGAGCTTGTATTGAAAACATGGTAAGTATCATGAAAATCCTCAAAAATAGGGATCAAATTATACCCAACTGTCCATCTTGTAGACGCTGAATGGAAATTTAAAAAAACCCAAAATTTAGCAATCAAATTAACCCAATTGGTATAAATAAAAAGGAAGAGAGAAAATTAATTGAAAACCCATCAATAAATTCCCAACTTTTCCAAATTTTGATGAAATTAAACAAATACCCATATCAAAAAATGCAAAATTCAATTAAAAAAGGAAATTTAATAGCAACTTATAATGTGGAAAAGAAAAAATTAGATGAGCTGTTGATCAAACCTCCAAAGAAAACGAAAACCCAGAAAGGGGAAAGTTTTAAAGATCGCTGAAGAGAGAGATCAGATTGATTAAAAGTATAAAAAATAAAAATTGAAATTACCTGAATTTGATCGAAATTTGGATTGTTGAATTGAGGAATTGGGGTTGTAACGAGAGGAGGCATTGGCACATGACAAGTAGGGAAAAAAATAAAAAAATCGAAAATCGATTTCGTAGTATTTAATTTGATTTAGATTAAAAGATAAAAAATAAAAAAATTAAATTAAATCAAATTATATATTTATCATTTTATATGTATATATATGTATTAAATTTTATAAAATAAAAATAATAATTTTATATAAAAATTTATTTAAATATATTAAAATTTTATATAAAAATAAAAAATTAATTTAAAAATTAATAAATAAATTAAATTAATAAAATTTGATTTGATTTAAATCATATAAAAATTTAAATCAAATTTAAATAAAATTTTAAAAAATTATAATATTATTTAATATCTAAAAAAATTAAATCGAATTTAATAATAATTTATCACCCGATTAAATTGACGTTTGAATGGCTACCTCGTCAAACAGTGATTAAAGGAATGGTAGTGACAAAATTTGGATTCAATTTAAACTAACTCAAATCTTACCAGGCATCGATCTGTCTTCCAAGGGCAAAACAGGGATTTTAAAACTCACGAATCCCATATATATGTTCCTGTGGCCCTGTCTTCTTTTCTTGTAACCAAACTCAGGCTTCATTTTGATCCTACCGCATCAGTGCGGAGTGAATTAAGTTTATCGTATTTTCAGTTAAATTTAAATGTTAATTTTAATGAAATTAAGTTAATATAAAATTTTTATTAATTTTTTAATTTTAATTACAATAAATTTTCTTTCAATCACAATTATAATAAATTTTATTATTTTTTTTAATTTCATCGCAGATAATTTTATCGTCCATCCAAAGAGCTTCAACAAAGTCCTAACGTTTCTTGCCCTGCTGTTCGATCCTGTTCTTATTCTCTCCTTCATTGTCAGTTCATCCTCTCCGTTCTTTTCTACCTGGAGTTGATCTTTGTCTTTATAGTATTGCTGGCTTTACTGGATATGTTCCTTGATCAGGAGCCTCTCAACACCAATCAAATCAGGGGAAATCAATCTAAGGATGGTAAGCTTTTACGCATTGGATTTGGTTAGCTTTTTTTAGTTATTTTAGACTTACGATGAATCATGTTCTAAGCCTTGATCTTGGGATTGTAGTTTTTCCGTAGGCAGATTTGCTAATATCAATTCAGAGTAGGATTTTATAACCAAACCTGGAAAGAAACAGTTGATGAAAAACATCCCAGAGTTGCGTAGAAAAACAATTCTCCCTTGTTCTCACGGTTGGTTGTTCTTATTGGAAATTGATCAGTGTAATCTATGGAATCCTGTGACTTTGGAATCAATACAGTTACCCTCACTTACTTTAGGGCCTAAGCGAAAGATAGGATCTTGCATATTGTCATCACCTCCTGGAAATCCTGATTGTTTGATCATAATATTTGTCATGTCCGTTCCTTTACTCATGTTTTGTAGAGTTGGAGATCAACAGTGGACTGAGCAGTCCGTAAGAGAATATTGTAGTGATCGTGTGGTGGGCTTTTTCCAAGATCCTATTTGCTGCAATGGAAAATTATACGCAAGGACTTTTGCACGAAACCAACTGGTAGTGATTAACCAAGATTTGCCAGGCAGCCTTGTCATCCATTCGCACGGAACCATTCCGCACTATCAGGATCATTCAAACTGTGCCCGTAGCTACATGGTGGAATCTTGTGGTGAAGTATTTATAATTTATTTAGTACGAGGAGGATAATTGTCTGTGGAGGTAACTGGTGTTGAGGTTTTCAAATTGGATTTTTCGCTAATGGAATGGATGAAAGTAGAATGTGCCAAGGATCGAGCATTTTTTGTGGATGAAATAGCTGCATATTCTTGTCATGCTCTGAAGCCAGAAACTGAAGGAAATCACATATTTTTCACAATGAGTGAAGACAAAAACTTGCATTCAATCAACATAGAAGAGAACAGTATTTCAGTCTCTTTGCCTTGTACAGATCTAAAACCACCATGGAGCTCACCCATTCGGGTAATGCCAGACTTCAGGTAAGATAAAATACTAGTGTCCTTTGGTTAATATATATGTTAATCATTTCATAAATGCATCTCTTTAATGTTAATCATTTCGGATATCTACAGGCTAAGTCCTGTTCATAGAAGAATGGAGGAGATAAAGCCTGACAAAATCAAAGACATTGTGCCATATGTGGAAAGTAAAAATAAAGAAGAAATAGGATATTTTTGCGAGCTTCCTTTGGATCTGCTATCTTCAGTCGCTAGCTGCCTTGTGTTGCATATTATATGAACTTTCGAGTTGTTAAAAGAATCTGCCGGTTAGCCGCCCCTGCAATCCATTGGCCAACCACCATAAAAAAATTGGTGAGACATTCTTTGCCCCCATGGCTTATGGTTTGTAAAAAGGGCCAAGATAAATGCAAGTTTATTGATCCATTGCATCGAGAAAGATATTTAATGAATAATCCTAACAAATCAAGTGAAGTCAGAATGTGCTACTCAAAAGAAGGTTGGTGCTTAATGTTACAAGGGAAATACACCATTTTCTTTTGGAATCCCTTCACAAAAAAAAAAAAAAAATCATTCTACTTCCGAAGCTTCCCCATGAATTTAAAACAATTATAGGCTGTGATTTTTCATCTTCACCGGATTCTTCGGTTGCCTTCTTGTTTTGATTTATGAGGATTGCCCCTATATAGACCTTGACTACATTTTGGTAGGAAAGGGACACTGGGAAAGTCTTTATGCTTTTAAATGGCAGGATTTCAAGTTGAGTAAAAACAATAATCCAGTTTTCTACAATGAAGAGTTGTAGTTGCTTGATTCAGAGGGAAACCTAGGAGTGTTTAGGGAGGGTTTTATCTGGGAAGTTCTTGACAAGCCTCAAAGGCCTTGCAAGTCATTCTATCAAAGCTTTCTTCTACAAGGAAATGGCAAGCTCCTATCTGTGTTTGTGGGTTTCATGGGAAAGTGGCTCAAGGTTTTCGAGTTGAATCTCTCTACAATGAATCGGGTTGAAGTTGACGATGTGGGAGATAAGATGATCCATGTTAGCTGTATATCATCTTTCTCTACCGCAGCAACAACAGCAGAAATGAGGAACACAGTTTGCCTCCCAGGTTTTATGAGGATAGCTTGCTATATTACTCGCTTGATTCCAAAAAGTATCATTCTTATGGCTCAATTGCTGTTATGGAAGATTTTCACAACACGAACAATTATATAGTGGTTGGATTGAACCAAAGTGGTAGTAAATTGGTGTTTGATTAGAACAACTCTCTTAATAGTACAAATATTTTTTCCTTTTTCATTTACTTTTTAAGTATTTTCTATGGATTAGTTCTAGAATTAAACCAATTCTTAACTTTATTCAATTCATCAATAATCAGGTTTACAATTTTCAACCAAAAAAAATTACTCATTCTAGTCAATTGTGTACAAATTTTTTTTTCTCGAAAAAATTTAAAATAAAAATAAAAATATATCGTATCTGACATTTAAAATTTTGATTATGTTAAATAAAAAAATCATATGAAACGATTATTTTATATCATTATATGTTATTTTTTTTAAATCGTATCTTTAATTATATATTTTTTAAAAATTAACTATTTATTATATATCATATATTATAATTAAGTGATAAATATTTATTTTAATAAACTCACCAATAATTATTATAATAAATAATTAATCTATTCAAAAATATGATTATAACACTATTTAAATGAAGATGATATATCTTAAGGTCAAATAATCTTTTTCATATGATCCTTTTCTCAAAAGAAAATAAACTAAAAAGTGTTGTGGGTCAAAAATAGATGGCTGCAACGGTCAAATCAATACAACTGCACAATACCTTTCCATTTCCACCCATTAGGAAATTTCCCTTATGGGCAAAAATTCTAACCGGTAGGAAAAGTTGTCCACATTACAAGATCTAAGGAATAAGACCCCTTCCCATACACAAATGAAAGCAAGGTTAGATGAACAAAGAATTCACAAAAAACCAAAGCCTAAATGGAAGGGGAAATCAAGAACTTAGTCAAGGTATGGCTTTCAATTCTATCATCTCTTTGCTATTGCTATTTTTTAGCCTCAAAGATCCCTAAAGGCAAGCGTAGGCTCCTTTCTCTTCTTCCAATTTTGTTCCTCTTCACCATCCTTCCTTTCTACCTCACTTATGTCTTCCCCATAGGCCTAGTTGCTTTGTTCTTCTCTTGGTTAGGCAACTTCAAGCTCCTTCTCTTTGCCTTTGATAAAGGGCCACTTTCATCTCATCCACCATATTCCCTCGTCCATTTTATCCTCATAGCTTCTCTGCCTATAAAAATCAAGGAAAATAAAAAATACCCATCTCCCCAAATTCCCCAATCACCTCAAATTTCATCTCCAAAACATCCTAAATTGCCTCTAAATTGGCCAACCAAAGTGTTGCTTTTTGCCATTTTGGTTAGTGCGCATGATCATATGCAATTCATGCACCAAAAGATTGTATTGCTTCTTTATTGTTGCATGGTGTACTTATTGATAGACATAATTTTTGGTATATCCAATGGTCTAGTACGTTCCGTCTCAGAATTTGAACTCGAATCACCGTCCAATGAACCTTATCTTTCAACATCATTGCAAGATTTTTGGGGTAAGAGATGGAACCTCATGGTAACAAATCTTCTACGCCACACCATATACAAACCCGTTAGGTTATTTTCGGACAACTTGTTAGGTTCCAAGTGGGCTCCACTCGCGGCTGTGCTGGTGGCTTTCCTTGTTTCTGGTCTAATGCATGAGCTCTTGTTCTACTATATCATACGAGTGAGTCCCACGTGGGAGGTAACATGGTATTTTTTGTTGCATGGGGCATGTGTGGTCATGGAGTTCGGGGTGAAAAGGGTGTTTTCCGGCAAGCTTCAGCTGCATTGGGCGGTGTCAGCGCTGTTAACGGTAGGGTTCGTGGTGGCCACCGCCATGTGGTTGTTTTTTCCACCCTTGCTAAGGACTGGTGTGGTACAAAGAGCCATTGAAGAGTGCAAAATCTTGTTATACTTTGCAAAGGTTTTATTAAAAGTGAAATATGATTAATTGTAGTTAGATTACTTAGGCAAATATTTTTTTATTTTTATTGTTATTTTTTTGTAATTGAGAGATTTCTTTTATTGAAAATGCAATATGTGAAAGGATATGATATTTTTGGTCAATTTAATTTACATGTTTTCCATATATTAATTACTATGATTATTGTTATTTTTCTAATATCGTTTTTTAAGAATTTATTATTTTTTCAGTATTTGAAATTATTAAAATTAAAAATACAATACTTTATCAATATATTATAAAATTGTTGCCAATAACTTATCGTTATTAAGCATTTACCCAAATTTATTATTTTTTTATTTTCATTAAAATATGGGTATTTTTACCTTTTCAATACCAAATTAATGCAAGTTAAAAGTTATGAATAATGCCATGGAAATTTGTGTCATGAGAATAAATTTTCTGATTACAATTGGAAACTTATGGTCTCATATTATGGAAATTTTTTGGCAAAAAAAAAAAAGAATTATAAGAATTTTCGTTTTTAATAATAAAAAAAAAATCTTGGTTGCATTGCTAAATAATAAAAAATTACTAAAATTTGAGATTTAGGCGTTTAGCTTTAATGATTATCCATATCTCGTAAAAGTAAATTTATACAAAATTAAGATATAATCATCAAAATTTTCAAAATCTATTTTTTTTCTTAATTTTTCTTAGGTTTCAACTTTCAATCACTTTTAAAAAAATACTAAAAAATTAAAAATAGTAATACCTAAAATATCACAAAAAGAGATGAAATTTTTATTCTAAAATTTTGGGTATTATTGAAATTATATCAAAATTTTTTAAAAAAAAATTTTAATTTAAACGTTGAAATCAAATATTTAATAATAAATTTTTTTTAAAAAAATATGATTCTTTTGAATCAAATGCTCCCTAAAAATTAAATTTTGCTAAAGGATAAAATGCAGCAGATATAGCACGTGATATTTGATAGCCATACCTCTTTTTGGAACTTTCTTTTTGTGGCTTAAAGTGAATGCTGAGATTGCTTTTCCATGTCAATTTCTATGTCACGTCTCTCTACGCAACCCTTAAGTTTTGTGGCATATAAATAATTGTCTTTTAAAGTTGTTCTTTTAAGCAAAAGATTTCCCCCTCTTTAAGCAATTCAACTGCTTTTTTTTTTTTTTTTCCATCTCTAAAATGCTTGACTATGTTTGATAATCATAGAGGTTTCTTTTTGGATAATTTACAATTCCCTTTGATTAGTTTAATCATTATTGCTTAAATTTGAATATGAGTATTTCACTTATAATTGTTATAATACAATTACTTAATTATAATTAGGATGATAATAGTTTGGATCAATTTAGATTTAGTTTGATTTTTTTAAAATAATGCATAGTATTATAATTTTTTAAAATTTGATCCAAATTTGAATCAACTTTCTTTATCGATTTAATTTGAATCGAATTTTATCGATTTGATTTGATTTATCAATTCTTAAAATTTAAAATTTTTATATGTTATTTTAATATAAATTTTAATATATTTTAATAAATTTATATATAAAATAATTATTTTTATTTTATAAAAATTTAAAAATATATAAAAATTAATAAAAATATATAATTCGGTTCGATTTGATTTATTTTATTTTTTATTTCTTGATATGAAATCTAATATAAACTTAATATATATATATAATAATATTCGAATTTGATTCGAACTAATTAAAAAAATTCGATACGAACTAAGTTGAACATTATAATTTGAATTAATTTTTTATTTTTTTCACCCCAAATTTTAATTGAGAATTATGCGGGGTTCATTAAAATCAAGCATAAATCCTTTCAATCTGAACACATTTTAACCTTAACAAAAAACATTTACTATCTAATGATGCATTTATAAATTACTAAACGCATATAATTAGTATTCAAAAGTTGAGAAAATAATTAAATAATTAAAAATATTAATTTAATTTTATCTTTCTTTTTATATATTTGATGATATCAGATATTAAATTTTAATTATTTACATAATTGTCGGTCATTACTTAATTAATTTATATTATTAAAAAATTCATAAAACTCCTTACTTTACAATAGAAAAATGGTTTAAAATCACATATTAAAATTTATAATTTATCATAATTATATAAAACACGTGTCAATGAGATTTTGTTTTAATAATTAAAATCCGATTAATTTTCGATAGTAAAAAAATTAAAAGCAAAAATCAATATGGGTCCAAAGGCCCAAATCTCCTTAAATGGCCCAACAATCTAAAAGCCCAAAACCCATTAACAATAACTTTATGATTTTTAGCACAACACAACTCAGAATCAGAGAGAGTGAAAAGAAAAACAAAGAAAAAAAGAACACACAAACATAAAAAATTAAAGAAAAATAAGACAGCAAAAATAAAAACCAATAGAGAAGAAGAAGAAGAAAAAAATATAAAAACAAAGAGGTGACTCGATCTACTCTCTATCAAAGTTTTGATCTTTTGTCGCAAAGGTAACTCCTTTTTCCCCATTTATTTCAGAACCCTTTTATTTTCATAATTATTTCTGTTTAGGTTTCTTTTGCTCAATTTTTTAAAACCCTTTTTGTTTTATTAATTTTCTGTTTACCCAATTGGTTAAATAATTTCAATTTGATAACTTTCGTAAGAATTGGGTTGTTTTCAGCTCATTGTTTTAGGCTTTTGGTTAAATTTTTAAGAAAAAGCTCTGTTTTATTTGGAGAAAAGAAGCAAAGGATTTAGCTTTATTGGTTCTCCTCGGAAAAAGTCTCAATTGGTATGTTTTTATTGCTTTGGTTTACCATTTATGTAAGTTTTTGACATTGTAAGTTAGGTAGAAGTTTATTAGTTTGATATTATTGGTTGCATGTATAGGCATTTGGGATTAAAGGAAAAAGCTTTTTTCTTTTGTGGGTTTTTGATCATTGGGCTAATTATTAGGTTAGTTTTTGAATTTGGAGTGTTTGGAATAATGGGTATCTTTTATATAATGGAATTTGTTTGAAACTCTTGATTGTTTTTGTTGTTTATTCTTTGAACTTATGCTTGTGACATTGCCCATTTCATTTAATAACTCTTATCGTTTATGAGGCTTTTATGGATTTTTCTTATGTGGATATGCATGGATAAGCATTTAGATTTTGAAGGAAAAAGCTTTATTCGTTTGTGGGGTTCTGACGATTCTACTAGTTCTCAGTTTGGTTTTTGAAGTTTAGTTATGTGGCATGATAGGTATTGTTATCTGGTGGGGTTTGTTTGGGGCTTGATTGTTTTATTGGTTTTCTAATTGAGCTTGTATTGTAATTATAATCTGTTGAATTTAATTAGTTGCCGGTTTATAAGGGTTTTAGATGGAAAGTATGTTTTGTTCCCAAAAGTAATTGGAATTCTGTTTTAATCAGATATTTGATTTGATATACATGCCAACACAGTTCGTGGTTGGATAATGGCTGTTGAGGCTCCTGCCAAACATGTTTATGATTTTAATGATGAGGATGACGATGGGCCTGCAGTGTTCAAAAGGAATAGTACCTCGTCCTCTAAGCAGAATCCATTAAACTCGGAAGTAAAGAAGGCATTGTCTCAGAGGTCTGATGGGCAATCTGGGAGGCCATCCTCCAATGTACGAGCTCCAAATGGTCAAAGTTCCAATGCCCAAAAGAACAAGACAATTGGATCTTCTAAGTCACCTCCTCTGAGATCGCCTATTTTAAGCCCAAAAGCATCAACTTCATCTGCCAAGGCATCACTTGTGAAGTCACCAGTGGCGAATTTTAAGGCATCAACTTCATTAAATGATCAGTCAATACAAACATTGAAGCAGAATATGTCTACTGCTGTCAAGGAAGAGAAAAGCCCACTCAAAGGTACAACTGAAACAAACAGTGATGATGATGATGATGATGATGATGATGATGATAAACAACCTTTGAGTGTGAGGCTTAAGGGGATCTCAAACCAGGGAAACAAAGGGGTGAGAACTTCTATTCCTGTCCAATCGCAGGGATTGGTACCAAAGATTGAGGTAAAAGGATCTGTTGAAGATCCTGATGATGAAGCTCCTCTGTCTGTGAGGTTCAACATGAATTCCAATACTGGGGCGTTGAGTTGCAAACCATATGACTCTGATGAGAAGAAACCCCTGGTTTCTAAAATTCAGCAGAATGATTCCACTATGAAGGACAAGCAGCAAAAGTCTTCTATGTTGTCAGGTAAGAGACCTCTTGATAAGGGCAATTCCTCAGATCAGTCTTCAGCTAAAAAGCCAAAGATCTCAGATTCACCTAGAACAATGAAATGCAAGCAAGTAACACTGAAAGCAGAAAAGGCTGATGAAGATGATGATCATATTCCAATTGCCCAAAGAATTAAAAAGTCAACTTCATCGGACAGTAAAACATCGTCCATGAAGCAAAAAACAACCAAAGTTGTATCTTCGTCATTTAAAAAGGTTAATAAAAAGTCAAAGAAAGAGATGAAAAATTCTAAATATATCAAGTCGACAAAGGTGTCGCCTAGTTCTGGCGATGGGCAGAAAAAATGGAATACCTTGGTTCACAATGGTGTCATTTTTCCACCTACATACAAGCCTCATGGGGTTAAGATGCTATATGGTGGGCGGCCGGTTGATCTAACTCCTGAACAAGAGGAGGTCTCTCTCTCTCTCTCTCTAAATATGTGTGTGTGTGGATGTGGGTGGGTGGGTGGGTGTACCAGTTATATATTATCGTATGTTCATGTGTTTTTGTGAAGACCAATGCTGTTATCACAATTGCCTGGAAAGTTTAAAGTTCTCATTCAGCTTGTTGCAAGATGTTTTAACCTGATCTGTTCATTCTGCAGGTTGCAACAATGTTTGCGGTGATGAAAGATACAGATTACATGAGTAAAACACAGTTCAAGAAGAATTTCTGGGAGGATTGGAGTAAAATACTGGGGAAAAACCATACCATTAAAGACTTGGACAAATGTGACTTTACTCCAATATATGAGTGGCATATGCAGGAGAAAGAGAAGAAGAAACAAATGAGTTCTGAAGTAAGTTGGTTGAAAATTTTTGGCTTCGATATATACAATCGCTTCTGGTACTGTATCTGTCTTATAACCTACATATTCTTTCGCAT